TATATATATATATACACACACACGCACACACACACACACACACACACACACATGCTCACACGTCCCAGGGATCAAAGTGCTTTGGTTAATGACTCAGTAGTACAGAGAGGTGCCCTTATGTCAAGCTGACACGCAGTGGGTCGAATACACAAGAAGTAAACACTAACAAGCTATCACAGAGCCCCCTACCGTCAATGGGCCATGCCTGGGGGGAGAGAGGGCCTCTCGGTCAGGCTGGAGGGGAAGCGCTTATCGACTGGCAGGCTTTCCAGGCCCCCCCCCCCCTGTTTCCGAGTGATGATTAACAGGCCCCCAGCTGCTCGTCACTGTCAGCCCGTGTCACTCATCCCCTGGCCCTGCTTACTAAATAAACGCTTATATTATGGCAAAGGAGAGTGTTCCTATGTAGACTAGACACTTATATTATGGCAAAGGACAGTGTTCCTATGTAGACTACACCAGAAACCCTTTTCATGAACAAATTGCAGAAATACTTTTGAAAATAAAAGCCTGGCATTGAGATTGTTTTTGTTGTTTCTAAAGTGCCAAAGTATTTACAAAAGGGCACTTGCTGTGAGGGAACCAAGGCTACTCAGCGAACCTAGATTCCTTTCTATTCTATTCCGCACAAACCGCTGATCATATTTTTGTTTTGAGTCGTATACCAGAAGCTACTGTGAAGGTTTAAACATCCATTATTCTAGAAACCTTTGTCACCCACTTGGCCTTGACAGATTTGACTATGTGTGTAAACTTATTATTATTATTATTAGAATGGACACTCAAAAAAAAAATAAATGCACGAAGTATTCTGCATCAGAGAATTCCACATTCAGGAATCACATGGGAGAAAGAAACTACACCTTTCCGACTTCCAAAACAGAGTATTTATCAGCCTGGCATTACTAATTAAAAGCACAAGGTTACTTAATAATGAGGAAGTGTGGCTACCTTCATAAAAGCAGAACATTTGGCGTTTTGGAATACCCAGGGTTGCTTTTGCATCATGCCAAGAATAACAAACATCAGCCATGACCTCAGAGAAGCTGTGGCTGCGGCTCATCAGTCTGGGAAGAGTTATAAGGCCATTAACAATCAATGTGAAATTCCACATTCTACAATAAGAGACTGTATACAAATGAAGAGCCTTCAAATGAGTTGAAATTCGTCCTAGAAATGAGCGTCCCAGCAAATTTGGCCAAAGATCAGAGCATTCAATGCTCAAAATAAAAACGCAAGAGCTATATCGCGTCACCTACAGGGCTCAGTGGTCGCGTGAAATGCTCATGTTCATGACGGCACAATGAGATAAAGACTGAGCAAGTATCCGTTTCATGGGAGTGCGGCCAGATGAAAGCAGAACCCGGCAGGACGACTTAAACCAAAAGGACCGTGAGGGATCAAAAACAAAGCAGGTAAACGACAAAAAAGAAGCAAGGGAGCAACTCAGGAAAAAACACTGCAGAACAGCAGCAAACACGGGGGCAACAACTGCTACAAACACACAACTACATGATAAACCAAGACAGCACAAAATAACCTAAATGTTAAATTACAACTAGTTGAGGCTTGAACTCACAGAAGAAGAGAAGCCTTGATGACATGGCCGCCCGCTCAGCCCATCAAGCATGTGGTGCCCCAGGAACAAGAGACACATATGTAGCTAACAGATGGGATGGCCAGTGACACCTGTTGGTCAAATGGAAAACTGACATACAGAAGGGGTCAGGATAGGGACCAATCCAGACAAGGCTTGCAAAATTGCATCTGAACAAACCACATGAGTCCTAGAACAATTTTAGAATAATCCTTATGACCAATGAGACCAAGGTGGAGAAGTTTGGTCACCATGTACCATGTTTAGTGACAACCAAACACAGCGTAACACCACACCATGACCAGCTGTCAAGCATGGTGATGGTGATGCTGATGATTTAGGTTTTGCAACCACTGGATCTGAGAAAGTTGGAGTCATCGAAGCGCCCATGAACTCCACATTATATCTGTGCAACACCTTAAACGGTGCCGAGACAGGGTCATGCCAAGTGCACCAGAAAATCAACATCCGAATGGGTAAAGAAGAAAATCAAGGTGTTGGGACAGCCAAGTCCAAGTCCAGACCTCAACCCAACTGAGACACAGGATCTTAAGAGAGCAGCCCTCAGTGCCCTCAAACAGCAATGAACTGAAGCTGATGTTGTAAAGAAGAGTGCCCATTTTATCTGAGTAGTTTTTTGCCATACAATACAGTATGTTTAACATTCTAATTTATTTACCTTATTCATGTCCATTTTAATATTAAATTTTCATTATATTAAACTAACAATACTTCATTTATACATCATACAACATTTTTTTATATAAAAAAGCCTATTTAAAAATGATGCATGAATTTCTCATGACCAAGCACAGGGGCAGTGATGCTTCCAATGGCAAGAGTGTGTACATGACGTAGAAGATGATCCGATGTTGAAGGTGATCCGATGTTGAAGGTGATCCGATGGTGAAGGTGATCCGATGGTGAAGGTGATCCGATGTTGAAGGTGATCCGATGGTGAAGGTGACCCCATGCCTGCTGAATGTCCTACTCCAAATTCAATAGTCCAACCAAGCAAACCCGCAAAAGTGCACTACTACAGAAGACTAAACATAGAAGATTAACCTAAAAGCTGCTTCTCACAATGGGCAAAAAAATAAGTAAATTAGTCCCAGCTGTAACCAAATACCTATAACGTTCACCTACAATGTTTCTGTGTGTCATCTGACTTTACATGACCCTACAAAGGTCTATGCCCTCATTGTTTGCACAGTATGGCTTCAGTGTGGGTGCGAGGTCCCATTCTGTGCATCGGATATGGGAGCTCGTTACATGGGCTCTAATTAACTGGGCCCCTTGGGTCTCTATGGCCTTTACTTGGCCAGACTCAGAAGAGCAGAGGTGGCAGCTGTTTATTGAACTTGCTAGGGGCATAGGAAGTGAAGGACACATGACGCAATGCCCGTAGTACGACAGCTCAGGAATGAGGAACCTCTGAGACATTTTAGGGGGTTGAAGAAGTCTAGATAGAAAGGAAGACTGACCTTGATGAGGAGAAAAGGGCCAAGGGGCTCAGGCAGGTCGCTCCTAACAACGAGAAGAAGTATGTCCTTCCTAATTGTTCAGAGGGGTTTACGTCTCCCGTCTTTGGCCCAAAGAGAATAATTAGCTGTTGAAGAGGATCTGCCCACTGCCCGTAATTGGACAATATTTTCACAGAGCCGAGGCTGGAGGCTATTTCTCCACTCATGGATGTTGAGCTCCATTGGCAAGATGTTATATCATTCAAAAACATCAACAGGGTGTTTTAAATGAATATTTGAACGTGGAACATGGCTTGTGGCACATTCAGGCTTTGTAGGACAATGCATTTTTATAAGTCATTTTTAATTCAGCAAATAACTCCTACAGACCTGACCTGGTTATTTTATATAGCTGTATACATTGAGTGTCTTTTTAGAGGCTGAATGTAACATCTTTGTCTCAGAGCTGATTTTCTGCTGTCTTTGATGTCATCACCAGATGCTAGCTGGACCCACCCAACTGTCTCTCAAAGGCTCTGTGAAGAAGGAGCGGCCAGTGTTGTAGATGTCCCTCAGAGTGTTTAAGGGACCGGATTTTGCTTTGTTGGGAGACACGACTTTCTTTGCTGAGAATGTCTGCAGAGTTTGCGGGGGAGGGAGAGCCTCTGTACTCTGTGAGCTCAGTACCTATGTCAGAAACTCCGGAATACTAAACAATCGCTTCTTGTCACAACTAGCTCATCGGTGACTAGCTGAAGAGGTGAGGACTTCTCAACCATATCTTCACTTTATGTAAAAAACAGAATTTTTCGATAAACTTTCTGAGCGTGGATCTCATCTCATCCTCACTAGAACAATATTATGAAGCCTGATCATTCACAATACCAATAATAATGACATTTTATGGTCCCTGAAAGGAAGGTCTCTCTTCACCTACCCCATCCCGCTCTCCATGACTCACGGACACATACGTAGGTAGCGAGTTTAATACTGAAGGGCAACCATCTGTAGCGGCACCCTAGAGCTTCCATCATTTTACTGATTCTGACACACAAGACCTACATCAAACAATGCTGATGGTTATGTGGCTTAAATAGCTATTAACAGTCCATCTACCTTCCTGCCCCGTATCTAGTGCCGGGTTCAGGAGGGCATTGTGTATCACAGTAGATTAGTAGGTAATCTTTACCTCACCTCTGAAAAACTGCTGGTCTCCGTCTCCATGTTCTCCCTCAGTGTATGATATGGGAAACCCCCCTCCCTCTGCCACCTTTGGGGGCACTACTGCCTCATCCACTCCGCCATGCTTCCTGAGATGAACCACAAGGCCACCATCTCCATCTTCATCTCCCACAGTCGTTTGTGTGCAAAGAACACCTGTCCCAGATAAGGGTGACCACCTGAAATAAAATTTCGTTGGTAGTTACCAGTAGTTACAATGGACTGTACCTGACCAACAAGTCTTACGCTTCTATTTGAGGTCACCTCTGCCGCTGACTTAAAAAGATAAATAAATAAATGGATAAGTAAATGATGAAGTATCATGTCAGTGATGCACCAGCCATACCAAAGCCTATTATAACCATGCAGAAATATGTCACTAATTGCCAGTGACACGTTTTAAGATTAGATTTTTTGGTACTTAAATAATGCATGTTCCCTTTAATGAGATTTGCGGTAATTGCAGAAATAACGAAGGATCAGCAATCATGCATTTTTATTTGATTGCCACCTAAAGGACCTATTAAAAGACAAACGCAGCCTCCTAAGTCTGGTAAGATTCAGAAGCGATCTTGCATGGGATTTCACGTCGGAAATATAATAATTCTGCGGAACAAGCGTGAGATTGTTAGACAAGGTGTTAGTGCGCTGTTTCTGCTTCGCTCCCTGCAGAGGTTCAAAGTGCTGCGTGGCCCAGCAGACGAGTCATAATCACGTTATAAAGACTGAGATTGTCATCACCGCTAATTATGCATCTTGGCTTCCCCGTGTTATAAATAACACCCACTTCCTATTTTCTTCAGCTCTCTTTCTCCACAGTGATTATGCTTTTCTTCCTTTAGTCCTTAGAGGGCTAGTAAAGAATTGTTACCAAAGCTTTGAACATGAAAAAAAGCGGACAGTAGAAAGGAGTAAAAAAAACAAAAAAATAAAGAAAAACAAAGCTAAAAACCATCTTTTCCCTGAACTTTATTATACGTCCTGTCTGTGTGTTTGCATATGAGAGCTTATTTCCACTCAAGGTTGAGAATAAAAAACATAACAATACGATAAAAATTAATTTCACTGAAGATCTTCATAATATGGGGGGTGGATTTATTCTCTAACTTCTCTTACTTTAGTTTGTTTTCTGCTGGAGCTGGTTTCCAGTGGCAGGATTGCTTTTTCTGTGGAGGAGTGTTTCATCTCGTGTAGCTGGCCGGGTAGCCGTGGCGTCTCTGTTCTTTCCAGGAGACGCGTGACGTACAGCAGGAGTTCACCGGAGACTAATGGTAGCGTTTCAGATGCCACACAGATGCGCCATCAGACGCCGGATTCAAAGCGGCGTCAGGCGGCTGCGGCGCAAGCGGGAGATTAATGAAGCTTTCTTTACCCCCCTCCCTTGTTTCTCTGGCCTGCGACGCTGCGAGCTTAAGCCGCGTTCGGTCCGCAGTCAGGCAGGCAGCGGCGGAAGCTGGCATTAGCCGTAGCGTCATGCTAACACCATCGCTTCACAGAAGGCAGCCTTTGGCTGGCAGACTGCGTGACTCTGATTTGCGGGTAAGGTGACGATTCGGGTTAGAAAGCTCCAGAAACCAAACAGAGGGTGTACATACTAATGTCACCCCCCCCCCACCAATAAAGCAAAACAACACTTTGCAATGTGGAATATATTTACTATCTTTAATAATTTAATGTAATCAATGGAAGTTGCCCATTTATCAAACTATAAATTGATTTCCAAAAACATTGATCACCACCACTCTTGTTTCCGATATTTACGCACTCTCTATAGGGAAGATGTTGATCCCTTATATATCTATAATACTTTATGAGACAATAATAGATAATAATTTATGAGAACTGAATTATAAGGCTGTAATACCATTACTCTATGTACAATCTTTGCACATCCTTGGCATCGCCTCAATTATTATATTGCTGTCATTAATTTAAATAACTGGTATTTCGCATTTCGAGATTGAATTGCAAAGTATTACTTAGACGCTGATGTGTACGTGAGGTCAGTGTTGTTCTGGAAGACCAGCGTAAGACCAGCGTTTCAGCCCCATGACAGAGGCAACTGAATTTTTGGCCAAAATATCCGGGAACTCAATAGAATTTGTGATGCTGTTGACCTTGGACCAGTGCAAGCAAAACAACTCGCTGGCATTATGAATTCAGCAGAATATTTTTACATGTAGATGCTTCTCTATATTTACATCTACCTTCCAATACACATTTATTTGCATGTGTCTTCAAACTACTATCCCGGTAAAATGGGGAGCTGTGGCAGGCAACAAATATCTTCTTACTCTGAGGGTAAGACAAAAAAAAATGCATTTAGTTTTACTATTTTTGACAACTATGAATGTTTTTGGTTATTCAGCCATTGGATAATTTCTGTTTTGTTGCCCATCCATCCATCCATCCATCCATCCATCCATCCGTCCGTCCGTCTGTCCGTCCATCTAACTGGCATTCCAGTACAGCATAACAGGGCACACACACAAAGAAACACATGTAGTTAAAATGTAAATTCAAGGTCTGTGATTATGCAGTTCCCCTCCTCTGTTCTCCCTATGCTTGGAATGCTGACAGAAGGCGCCCTTAAAGGTCCTATAGACTGAGTGTAGACGTCCGTGTCCTTCATTAGCATCCTATCCTGGGTGTTCCTGTTCCTCATGCACTGCTCTCTGTTACCCCATAAGGGGTAAACACATAAAATAGAGAGATGGACAATGAATGTTTATGCTACAACTGGTTTTCAGTTCTCTCAGTAAAATATCAGTATGCACTGTACAGCACTGATGATGATTAGTTTTTGTCACAAACTCTGTAACAGTGGTTGATTCGAGTTCTACACAGAAGCCGTAATGAAATTATTAGTGTTAACCATGAGCTTTACATTGTGGAAGGTTGCCGACAAGTTTAGGGAAGTCTGTAATAAAAAATATGTTTATAGTCTGACACTAATTCCTTACAGAGCAATCCCGGTGAAAAAGAGAATCTGGAAAACAGCTCTGGGCTGCAATATGCTGAAAATCTATGGTAAATGTTTTGTCTTTGCAAATATTGGCTGGAATGAAATGATGCTGCTATAAAAAAAAACTTTTATATGTTACAAGTCAAAAATCCCTAACACAACAAATACTGAAAGTCTCACATTGTGGTTTTCTCATTACTTCAATATGTAGCTCTGGAAAAAATTAAGAGTCCATTCCATATATTTTTTGTTAATCTAGATTTTTAAATCCAGGTTTAATCCTGGTTCTGCTGGCAGAAGGCTACACTGAGCAGCAGGTTGCTTCCAGGTTCAACATTTCTAAGACAGCATGACACAAGAAAAAGGTGAAGCAGGAAACACTGGGAACGACCAGAAACCAGCCAGGGCGAGGGTGGAAGCGACTTTCTAATGCCAGAGATGACCGCTAACTTATCTGACATATTCTCATGAATCAGAGGATGACATCATGTGACCTCAGAGGATGACATCAAGTGACCTCCAAAAGGAATGAGAAACATTACTCTGCAGCTCAGTAAGTCTCTTACTAGGGCAATGTCTTAGACTTTGAGTAATTCTGTATCTTTATTTTCTTAGCCATTTCTGCAACACACATTTCACTGGAGCAAATTGAACAACAAGGATTCATAGCAGCTGCATGCATCTAATTCTTTATGTATAGTATCATCAGAGGGAGTATATAAGAAAAAAAAAACCCTATTACCAACACTGCCTTGTCAGGAATAATGTCCACGTTTGGATCTGTGACTCTCTTCGACAAAGAACCACTATAAAACTGCAAAAATAACACATCAACACAAGTCCGTAAACAATCGCACATACGTGGGAGTACTTGAATGACAGAGAAGATGCCATACAATTTAATTTGATCATAATAAAGCAACCCAGGAGATATTAGAAAATTTATGAGAGGCACACACCGGATGTGTGGGTTGAGATCATTATTTACATGGAAAAAATATTTATGAGTACTGAGTATTACTGTAAAATGCAACTTTATTCTTGTTTACTGTGGACCTTGTTTAAGCGGAAACCTGAAAGCAGGGAAGTCAGATGCCGCTAAGCACAAATTTCTTTGAAAGATTTTGTTCACTCAAGGGTAGAGTCATACTGTGGGTTGAGTTGCTGTGACTCTTGGGTTTGACTCGTTCATACGGACTGTCAAGGTCTGGCATTGGCCCCTGCTGAGTTCATGTGTGGTCTCATCTTCAGCCGTTCATCACTCAGCCGCTGTAGCTGCCTCAGAAGCTGCAGTTCGGCCACTCGCAGCACAGAGGTACTCGTTCTTCAACTCACCAAAACTTTTCATCGTAGCGATAGCTTGCAGCCAAGCGCATGAATATACATGAATGCGCACAATCCTTGTGAAAACACACAATCTTCTCTGAAAGACGGACAAGCAGCCCATGTTCTAATGTTTGATGATTAAGAACATACAACATTGCTATATAAACATACATTTGAATGTTGCTAGTAGAGCGGGCATAACTGCAAAGGCAAATTCATGGTCCTGGCAGCACAGAAAGCGTAAAACTGAATGATTAATGCAAGTAAAGCATAGATATGGATGGATATTCAGATAATATGACTGCATAATAGTTTAAGGAATGCACCACCACAAGGATAGCTATATGAATGAAATATGAAGTGAAAATGAAAAAACGAGATGAAAGAATAAAATGAAATATGAGGGAATTATCAGCAGGATTAAAGGCCGCAGCAGGAGAGGACATCGACATCTTCCACCTAACCGTGCTTAAGCTAGCTTTGACTGCAGCCTACCGGGGGCTTGCGGGAAAAGAGTCTTCACTACTCCCTGATGTTATCTAGCTGTTGGTCTAATCCTGTTTTTTAAGAGGATTCTTCCCGGCCTGCCTTTCAGAGCGTTGCTCTGGCATGACAACTCACATACTCAGACCCCAACCCCCCCTGAACATAATCACCTTGATTAAAGCCTGCCGCTCTGGAAAACCTCTAAAACAGCCTGTTTTTCCTCGCGCCCCCATTTCTACTTCCACCGTAACAAATTTAACGTGTGCCGTACGAAATTTTATTCCATACACGCCGCACCTGTTTAGCGATCAGTTAGCTAGCTATTTGGCCGTTTGTTCTCGGGCTTCCTCCACGATCGTTTCTTTTCAGATTTTCCACGGACGCGTCATGCCTCAGCAGCCAATCGAGTCGTGTTTCAACGGAATTGTTTCATATCTCAGCTAATGCCTCGCATGTCCTCAGAGAAAATACACACGCCATCTCCTTTGAAGTCGACTCGTGATCCATACAATGTAAACGTGTTCTCTCATTTACCCCCTAGATATTTTTAGCCCCAAAATATTTATAATATGCTTCACTGTTAAGACTTTTATTCCTCGTACCTGATGCGAGTCAGAAACTCTTGCACTGTACGCTTAAATCCATCTCAGTGCACAATACCCTGATTTGTTTTCTGGTGCACATTATTCACTTAGGAGATTTTTAACCATCCTCTGACCCGGTCATTGTCCATGCTGAGAAAATGCCGGCATATTGCCACACTCATTCCACCTTCAGCAATAGCATTTAAGACGCCCAGGTATGCAAATGGGTGCAGATTTTCATTCCCACATTTTTAAATAATTACCCTAAAACTTCTCAGCCTGTCAGTTTCCACTGTAAGCCCATTCTGAATATTCTCCACGCGTAGCAATTAGTGCAATTATCTGATGTCATGCATGAAATTGTTAATAGTAAAAGGCATATATCAGCAGGAGAGCGGGGCTTCCGGTAAATGAGGAATAGGCTTTGTTTTCAGTGTTACTGCAGAGCTGGGCTGAAATTATACAAGGCATAACCACCAAAATAATGGTGACTACCTACTGCACTGTATATTACAAATATAGCCATGTAGCTCTGGAAAGAGCCCAGCGCCTTGCTCATTTTATTTGTTATAGCACCTACTCTTTTTAAACTCGGAGATTGCTATTCTGTCCCATGTCCTTTAACTTGCAACTGTTTATTTCCTCAAGTCCAAAATGTCCTCATTAAGCATTCCTTTCAGGGACTGCAGAGGCAAGTTGATTTAAATGCATTTAAATGCATTATGTTATTCTTTCTCTTCTGATTTAATTCTTGGCTCCCAGATGCATTGAATCCAATTAACATCACCTTCATTATGTGCTTTGTGTCTGGCACAAAGATGTCTCGTCATTAAGAGCGTCGCTATAATGAAGGTGGAGTTAATGTCTTCAAAGTTTTGTCTCCCTTTGAAATTTTGCAGTAATCTCCCCCCTGACTTATTCATTCAAAATGCTCATTTCCCACTGATATGGACTTGTATACATATGCCACTGTGCTTTATTTTATGACTAGGCTTAACTCATTTTGGCATTGAGAGTTTGAGATGATCTGACCCCCACTTTCGGTCAGGATTGGCTGGCAAGATTGATCTTTCTGCTCAAGCCGTTTTCCCTCCCTTGGGTCCTTCCAACCTGTAGGCAAACCGGCTCTTTGATCCAATCCAGCGTCCTGTGGAGCTGGCATAGGTGAGT